GTACTTCGATTTCCAGGTAAAGGGAAAAGGCTCATTATCTGCCATATTGGCAGTGAGGATGGATTTGTTGTTGACGGTCTGTGGTGCTTTGAGTCTAAGAAAACTGGAGATTACCACGCGGAAATGAATGGCGAATCGTTTGAACAGTGGTTTTCAAAAATTTTACCGAACTTAGAGGAAAACGCAGTAATTGTGTTGGATAATGCGCCTTATCATTCTCGAAGAATGGAGAAGGTCCCAACAACGGCTTCAAGGAAAGTTGATGTTCAAAATTGGCTCCGCTCGAAAAATATCAACTTTGAAGAAGCAATGCTGAAAGTACAATTATTAAGAATTGTCAAGGATCACAAGGCGGAATATCAAAAATACGCCATTGACGAAATGGCAGCAAGTCAAAATAAAACTGTGCTCCGTTTACCTCCATACCATTGCGAGCTCAATCCCATTGAGCTCATATGGGCAGAGGTTAAAAATTATATAGCTAAGCACAATACAACTTTTAAATTTTGTGACCTCAAAGGACTTTTCAAAGAAGCACTAGAATTAATAACAGCGCAAAAATGGGAAACCTGTATTAAGCACGTGAAAGACAAAGTTGAAAAGAGAATGTGGGAACTGGACAATATTTTAGAGGAACAAGTCGAGCCATTCATTACTGACGTTGGTGCTTCAGGCAGTAGCGATGATGAAAGCTCATCAAGCTCATCTTTCCAATAAAAGATGTCGTTCATCAAATTCGGTAAGTTATAAGTAATTATAAAGCTACTGTATTTTTTAATTAATTATTGACATTCTTGAACCCATTTTGGCAAAAACTATTCAAGAATCTACTTTCTGACAATGTTCAACCATGCACATTTTTTTACGTTTTGAACGTTTTAATTTGGTTACATATTTACCTAGAAATCAAAAAATATACTAATCAATATTCTAAAAGCTTTTAAGAGATATACGATTATTTTTAATTTAGGCTAATTTATACGCCATTTTGAGATTATATTCGACTGTATTTCACCAAACATCAGGCGGCATCCGAAGCTGGAAATCGAAGCGAAAATTTTGAAACCCTTATGTATATTTACATCATTATATATTTCTTACCCCACCCCCACATGATCCTATATCCATCACCTATCGTATACACATCGAATTGTGCTAATTTACTACAAAGTTACGCAAAGCAGCATCTATCTAAAATATGTACTGCGTGACTCTTAATACGTCCCTGCCGAATGTTACAGCGTTCGATGATCACGTGGTCTTGTTTATGTCCGGTCTATCTCTTATCTGAATATACTGTAGTAGGTCTAATTTGTCCCCAAATACTGATCTCACCTCATTGATGTATAACTTCAAGAAGGCATCCTATGTTGGCTTATAGTATAATGCTTTGAGTTATATTGACTGGTCCTATTTAGGTAAAATTACAGATGTCAATAAACTATGCGATATAATTTATGCTAAAATTTTACGACAAATTAAACCATCATCTTCTTGTGGATAGCCTTCATTATTTTGGCCTTACTGACTCGTTAGTCGGTCTTCTAAGCTCATATCTTTCTAATAGGACCCAATATACTTATTATAATGGTTATCCTTCAGTTAATTATACTGTTCCCTCTGGAGTACCGCAAGGTTCAAACCTAGGTCCCTTGCTATTTTTATTCTTCATAAATAACCTAGCCGCTTCATTAAAGTGTGAATCTCTACTATTTGCTGATGATCTGAAAATCTACACCAAAATTACAAATTTGGAGAGCCGTAATTCCCTTCAGGACGATCTTCATACCATCACACAGTGGTGCGACAATAATATTCTCTTCCTAAATATACTAAGTGACATATAAATCCGAACACCCAGTTTAAATGGTTTTATTTTAATAAAAGTTGGTGAATGTATTTATCTTACTGTAAATGACAAGTGAAAAAATTTTCAGCCTTACCAGTTGGACATTCCGGTTTTTATACTGCTTTTTTTTAATTCACTAACGCTCTAAAAATGAATATTTCAGCCGCAGTAAAGAATCAGCGTTGGCGGATTTTGGTTCTTGACATCCTTTACGATCGGTTACGATGCCTAGAGTACGGAGACCTGTACGATTTCGTCAACTTAGTGAGTTTGATAGGGGCCGTATAGTGGGACTTCGGGAAGCTGGACTTTATTTTCGGGCAATTGCAGTTAGAGTGCAGAGAAGTGCAGACACTGAGGTTAGGTGTTGTCAGGCATGGCTTCGAGAAGTCTGTACGCAAAGAGCAAGGGGCACTGGACGCCGCCGTAGAACAACAGACCGTGAAGATCGCCGCCTAAGATTATTGGCCTTAAGGGACCGTTTCTCCACTACCAGGTCCATTGCAAATAAATGGTTTGCAGAACACGGAAGACCTATTGGCATGCGAAGTGTTTACCGACGAATGAGAAGTTTTGGCTTGTTTTCATACCGGCCACACTGGGTCCTCCCTTTAACTCGAGAACACCGACGTAATCGCCTTGAGTGGTGCAGACAACGGTCACTCTGGGATCAGGAATGGAACAGTATTGTCTTTATTGACGAGTCTTGATTTTGTTTAGGCATGCACGATGGTCGTGCCAGGGTTAGAAGGCGACGTGGTGAAAGGAGGAATCCACAGTTTTTTGTTGAAAGACATGTTCATCACACTGTTGGAGTTATGGTTTGGGGTGTATAGCTTATGGTTCCAGGTCACCTTTAATCTTCATCAGAGGTAACATGAACGCGCAGCGTTATATCCACGAAGTTCTAGAACCCCATCTTTTACCCTATCTTGACACCCTGGCAATAGACTTCTTTCAACATAATGATGTCACATTGTTACCATGGCCACCAAGATCTCCCGACTTATCCCCAATTGAGCACGTGTGGGATATGATGGGTAGGAGATTGCTCAATTTGCAACGTCCTCTTAAGACTCTAGAAGCACTTCGAGAGGAGTTGGTGGTTGCCTGGAATGAGATACCACAGGAGGACATTGACCACCTGATCAGAAGCATGCCTAGGCGCGTTGGAGAATGCGTAGCACATCAGGGTGCATCCACACATTATTAAAGGTCAAAGGGCTTTAAAGCAGTGCAATAATTTTGAAATTTTTATCATTTACTTATTATGCTTCATTAAGTACTTATACAAAATTTTATTAAAATAAGACCATTTAAACTGGGTGTTCGGATTTATATGTCACATAGTATATATGCAACAATTATAATTCCACAGCAGACAGTTCTGACATTAATTTTGATTGTATCAGTAAGATCTTGCCGAATTTCAAGTACTATTATAATAGCTAATTCTGTTTTTTAACCTCTTAACCGTGTTGCCAGAATTCGGATGTGGTTGTATGTATCGTGTCATAAAAATATTAAATGCGAGAATATTCGCATTACCCGGTAAGATAAAAAGATGCGCATATATTCGTCGTTCCCGTAATGTGATATCCTTACAGATAGAAAGTATGCGTATATACTCGTTTCACTCGATAGGGAGAGCGTATGAATAAGATAATAAAAATGCAAGCATGTATCCAATAATTCCAATTACTTTATTGAAAATTATTGACAAAAAAGCTCACTAAACTACGAATGATATAAACCAAAACATGGTGCAGCACACAGTCCAGTTTTACATGATTCGCACCAATATATACTCTCTATCCTCTTGCCTTTCTCTCTACACACTACACACCTTTTGGTCGGTTCCTTTTTATGTGCCGTGGATGACATTACAGATGGAAAATGTTTCTCAATCAGCCGACTTGCATTTTTTGTTTTTGATCGTCTACCTGCATTACAATTCTTATCTCTTCCATATTTTTCTATCAGTTTTTCAGTTAAATCTATTACAAAGTTCAGACGTGACTTCCTACCACCAAGTTTTTTGTAAAGGATGTAACTGTTTAATACAGTTATATCTAAGAAATGACGAAATATTTTTCTGTAATATTTTTTGAGGTGTGTACGTGACATTGCATAAAAATGGAGCATATTGTCTGTCAAATCTACTCCACCCATTTTTTTATTATAATGCTCTATAACTACTGGCTTTTTCATTACCTTCCCTCTTTTTGTTTTCTCTACAAACTGATTGTCATGTAAAGTACTTATCATCACTATTTCTTTTTTATCTTTATACTTCAGCAACATAATTTTCTTCCTAAATAAGGCATATGCTTCTCCGTGTTCCAACTTTTTCTCCTTCAGCTCTTTTGGTATACCTTTCCTATTCAACCTCATTGTGCCAACACAATCTGTGCGCCTCATCGATAACTTTTCTGCCAAGTCCACGCTAGTATAGTAGTTATCGAGAAACAGACAATAACCTTTATCTAAGATATTATTTGAGAGTTCTAATACCACTCTAGCTGATAAAGGTTCACTCGCGAAGCTGTCGCCATAGTTTGTATCAGCTCCAGTATATATCAAAAAGTTATAGGTGTAGCCTGTTGAGCTTTCAGCTAAAATAAATAGTTTTATCCCAAACCTTTTTCTTTTCGATGGGATGTACTGTTTCCACGTTAGGCGACCTTTCCAACCTAGTAGTGACTCGTCAATGGAAATGTTTTGTTCAGGAATGTAAACTTCCATAAACCTTTTTTGAAGGTGATCTAGGACAGGTTTAATTTTGAATAGCTTCCTCTGAGAAGTGTTTTCGTCAATTTCGTTATTATTAGAAAAATGTAGGAACTTACATATAAGTGCAAACTTCCTCTCAGTCATCACCTTGGAAAAAAAAGGTGTTTCTATGCTTTCCCTTTCCGAAAAGTACATTTCGTATGATGGTTTTACGCAAACACTTTGTAATAACAACAATCCAAGAAAAGTTTTTATTTCATTAGCATCCGTTTGAGTCCAGGCGCGAACTCTTGAACGAGGCCTGATATTTTCATTGTTCTTGATAATGAACTGATTGGCGTACCTAGAATAAGACAAATGTAGAATATTCATAATAAATGTAGAGTAACACCATTTTACCTATTTGTTTCTTCTACTACAAGGTTTGTCAAATGCTGATCCATGAATAACTCAAATATCTCCAAAATATTATCCGAGCTAATATCAGGAACTTTTATACCAGGATCTGAAGTGAAGGGAAAGTTAGGGCGCGGTATACCTTCTTTGACCCAAGGTACCTCTACGTCGTCTGCAGCCTCTTCTGGGTATTCACTTTCTGATCCATCTGCCGAAGATAAATCGTCGCAGCTTGATAAATCATAGTTAGTATCAATAGAACTGATAGACAAAAGATCGCTGTTGTAATCGAATGAAGATTCACTCGCGTCAGACATTACAAAAGGGTAGCGCGCAAAACGCCTGTACTCCAGCCTATATCAGTCCTCAACTGAGCTCATTTAACAGAAAGCAGCAAGTTTTGTATACCATTCGAACGTGCGAAGAGTGGGGATTCTCATAGAACATAATAGCGACTATATTCGTATTATTCGTGAAATGCGGCGTTTAAAAAGGTGAGGCGAATATACTCGTACTACCCAACCAAGTTAGTTTATTACTTGGCGAATATATTCGTCATATTCGGTTAAGAGGTTAAGTTAGTTTTATATATGCATTATATGTATGTATTATATATAAGTAAAGATACCATTATATTGTCCTCCAATTGGAATAGTTCTGATGGGCAATTATGTATAAAAAATAAAACAAAATAAACTTCGTACATCCAGAACTGGTTGATACGGCCACTCCTTTATCCCTAGGTTATCGAGATTATGAAACAATCTACATGAGGAGGATTTTCCAAGTTCTACTAACTTTGGGCAGTTCAAAAGTCGGACTAACAAAGTTTCTTTAAGCTCCTCATAGCAGACGCGGTACCCTGGCATTTAGGCTTCTGCCTGCGCGGCTACTGTGGTGAAAAAAAGAATAGTTTCACATACTTGCAATACACGGATGGGACCAAGTGGAAAAGATTCATCATCAAAAGTAATGAAAGCTGCATATGGGTACTAGGGTGAAAAATATAAAAGTTTAATCACAAAATTCATATAACAAAGAATCGATTGGTTCAATCATTATGATTCCAGTTATGAAAAATACCGGAAAACATTAGAAGATACGTATATTTGCGTTTGTCAAACATTCGCAGGATTCACCCCCTAAACCGTTTTGAGTATCCGTCTCCGGTTTTGATGAGCTTTTAATATGTTTTTTTATGTCGATATTTAAGAGGCACGCATTTTTATACTGACCAAAAAAGGGTGAAAGCAAATCCAAAAGCAGGGACTGAAAGACGGTAGTTCGAAGTTTTACATACTTGCAGCTGTGAAACATGGGTGGGGCCAAATGGAAAAGATTCTTCATCAAGCATAACGATAAATGCATTTGGAGCTCACGTTGTTGGGGTGAAAAATGTATAACGTTATAAGGGAAAAGATTGTTACAACAAAACTATTGGTAGTATAGTAAGAAAGAAATTGTGAGTTAGAAGGTTGAGTAGAAGCCAGGCGGTTCTATTTAGCAGGCCTAAAGAGCAGCAACATCAGGAAAGCACAAGGTGTGTTGACATAACGCTAGGACATAATTATCAACTACCCATTCAGGAAGTATCGTCGATCAGTCAAAGAAGCCTTTTCTAAACCTTATCAAGTATAGAAAATCTAGTGGTGGTACCATACATGTGAACAGTACTCTCATTTCTTATCTCGGGATTTGTACAGCGTGAACAAATTACTTACTTACAAATTGCCCCGGCTGTGTTTTGACAAAGTTCGTACTTTCCCCTCATCTGGTGTGATTCTTCCATCGACGCTGTTACCAAGTGTTCATTTTGGCTAGGTATGACTTGATATTTTACCACCTCATACGAGGACGACCTACAGATATTTTACCAGCTTTTGCTTCATCCCATCAATTTTACTAACCGTACTTTTTTGGGGCTTTGAACGTCACCAGCCCATCTCAATCGCTGTGCTGAGATTCGACAATATTACTATCCTCAAATAATTGTTTAATTTTTTCATGCGATATTCGTTTGCTATCTGATAATAGGGAGGCCCGAAAATCGTATATGGTACTAGTTCGAAACGCCTAAGCCGTTCTTCATTGGCTCTCGTCATCGTCCACATTTCACAACCACACATGGCATTGGATCTTATGACCTTCTTACAAATTTTGGTCTTAGAGGTGATCTTCTTAGTGTTATTATTGTTAGCAGTGATCGTTGCTCCTAGGTACGTTCAACCCTCTCAATATTACGGGAGCCTATTTTGTTATACTTTATTTTCTGAACAGGTTAGACAGCGAAATGCAAAATACAGGATATTGCACAGCAATATCTACTTTTCTCTATAGATTATCTATGATTTAATAAGGTCGCCTAATGTGTTGCTTCCCTATCTAGGTGACTTAGCAATGGCTAAATAAATTTTACCGTAATTTTAGAATAAGCCTATTTTCGGGCCGTATGGTCTATTACTGTATCGACCCTATTCTCTCTATTTTACTTCATTATACCGAATCTGGGACAAAATTTACCGATCCCTGAGTTAATGCGATCAAAGCAATTTTAGGGGGCAAAGTAGGGATCACATTCGCCCTGTTCTCTTAGCTTTATTCACGAAGGGAGTGTATATTGATCCACTACACATTTCAGGTATATTAATATATAATTAGTAAATATAGATTTCTTCATAAATAGTGTACAATAGAACTTTTTAATTAATAATTCTAGGTAAGAATGAATTTTAAACTACGCCACTACATGATGTAAACTTAGAACTAGCTCTTGTTCACTTGTGTAGCTGTACGTGTTGCCTAAACATCATGACGCTTCAGCTATCAAGTCATCGTCAAGTCATCGTCGGGTGTCCATGAGACATTAGCTCTTGAGTCAGTGTCAGTTTGTAAGTCTGTTAGGTCTGGTAATCCAGAAACCAGACGATTTTAAGGAAAAAAAGGGAAGGAAAGGAGAGAAGGAAGAACGAGAGCAAAGGGGAAGAAGAGAATCTTTTAGGATAGGCAGTGTTTAGGCATTGTTAAAATCACTTCACAGATTTTGATATGGTCGAAAAATATTCGATTTTTTCTAAAGATTTTGTCAAAATGCTAAAATTTTGGTTGTTCTAAGTACACGAATTAATATTGATTACAGTGCGAGCCGCGGCATTTTGTGCTTGGGAACTTGCTCGACTGCGTAGTCCACTGACTCACGCAACAGAGGGTTGCTGTGTGATTCCGCTAGGCTATAACGCCGCTGCGCCTGTTGCTTATTGAAGTCCTTTAGGTAAGGGACACCGAAGTCTCTATGTAGAGTTTCGTTAGAGACATACGTACCATGATGCGTCAGCAATAGTGCGCAACGTCCTGTTTTGCAGAACCTGCAGATTTCGCATGTGTGTTTTAGCAATAAAACACCAAGCCACACGTGTGTAAGTCATTGCTGGTCTTATGACCACCTTATAGAATCGAATCTTGTTAATCAAACTTAATTTTGAACGTGTACATAATAATGGGTAAAGCTGTCGAAACGTAATTTGGAATTTTGTTTTTAGCGCTTCTATATGGTTCCGCCAAGTCATCCCTCTGTCCAGAATGACACCAATATACTAAGCGGAGGATTCCCATGGTATACGAAATCTATTCATTGAAACTTCAGACGGAACGCTGCGACGACTTTTTGTACAGTAGATTGCCTGCGTTTTCGAATTAGCCACCGATCCGCCCAATCTAATATTTCCTCCACCGCACTGTCATGGACTAGGTCACCAGACGACGACTGAGCCACCAATGCAGTATCGTCAGCATAGAGATAGACTTCACAGTTGCTGGGACTAGGGACGTCATGGATGTAGAGTAAGTAAAGGATAGGTCCAAGGACCGAACCCTGAGGGACGCCGGCTGTAATCAGCCGTGTTGTCGACAGGACAATTTTGATCCAACATTTCCTACCTTCAAGGAAGGATTTCAGTAGTTTTAGAAGCCAAAAAGGGAAGCCCTTTTGGATTAGTTTATACAGGAGGCCCGCGTGCCACACCTTGTCAAATGCTTTTGAGACATCCAAAAGCAAGATGCCAGTACTTTCGTTAAGGGTGAATCCTCTGGTTACTCGTTACACCAGCCTAACCGCCTGTAGCTTCGTACTATGTTCGGATCGAAAACCGAATTGCACATCAGGAATCACATGTTGGTGATCTGACGAGAAATTCTCAAGGTGACGTAGAATCACCTTTTCAGCGAGCTTAGACGGAGCTGACATCAGGCTAATGGGACGGTAATCCTGGGGAAATATCGAACCCACCTTCTTTGGAATCATTATAGCTTCAGCGGTCTTCCACGCGGACGGGAAGTACTGGATCCTTAGCATGGCATTGACTATTGCCACGAGATAAGTTAAGGACTTCCACGAAAGCAGCTTCAGCGCCTTATTAGTGATTTGATCCTCCGCAGGTGCTTTACGCACTTTAAGGTCTTTAATATGACCTTAAATCTCTGCTGGTGTGCAATGCGGGATCTCCGGAGATGCCACTGATGTGCTAAGCAGATCTTCGGTTCAAGAAGCTTCTGAAGAAGAATCTTCTGATGAAGATAAATCACCAACGTGTAGCGCAACTGTCACTGACGCCGTTGGCCCTAAAATGTGTTGCTCCTCGTCGAGGTCATTATCAAGATCAAAGTTGGGAGAGAACTGCCTTTCCATGGCATCGGCGAAAACCTCAACCTTTTCCTCTGTCCTGAAGACAATGCCTCCAGGACCGTGGATATGTGGGATTTGTTCACACTTTCTGTTTTTGAGCGACTTGGCCACCTTCCAGAGAGAAATGCTTGAGTCAAGCATCCCCACCAGAAAGTCGTTCCATTGCTTATTTCGGAATTCATGAGGAGCATTTCTTAATTCATAAACAAGATTCGTCGCTTTGCGAATGTCATCAGGATGACTCTGATGTGATGTAACCCTTGCTAGGTGAGTCTCGCACCGCGCACATAGTAAGCAAGCGCGGAATGAAATATTTGCATGCTAAGAACTATCTAGTCAGTAAGTTGACATTTTGTCGTTTTTTTTTAAGATGATAAAGGTGTTTTACGAAATAACCCCGCCGGTCTGCCAGTGTGTTATTCTACATCTGCAGAACAAATATAAACTCACAAACGAGGCAGTTCAAGTTTAATAGAAACAGTGGGCGACCTGTCGGAAGTGGTCAAAAATTAGTATTTCAGGTATAAGTAATGGAGTGAAAGAGATTTTATACTTCCCACCAGGATTCCCATGCGATTCTGTCATTAACTTGATTATGTGCGGTTGATCTGCAAGCCTAACACACAATTTCAGGTGAGATGAAAGGCGCACAT